TTATTTAATATATTTAATAATATTATTTATTTAATATATTATTACATGTTTTCAAAAATTAAACCACCAAACGCAGTTTCAGTTTTTTTTAAAACTGAAATCAATCTCTAAATAAAACTACCAAACGCATTTTTAGAAATAATTCAAAAATGAAACTAAAAACGTTTTCATTTTCATTTTCGTACAGAAAATAAAAACGTTTTGGAACCAATTCCAAACGCACCCATAGAGTTCCTCTTTAGTACTATTATTGTTAGGACCGGCAATATGAGTTATGATACGATAATTTGACTTGAAAACGACACGAATTTCACAGATTAGGGTTGAGAAAAAGAGAAATTCGGATCAGAATTGGATAATAATATTAGATAATTTCACACCTCCACTTTAAAATGTAAAGTTTAAATTTCCCAACTCCTAAATTCAGAAAAAAAAAAACAATGATAATAATATTGGACGTGATATTAATGATACATGATAATAGGAATAATCTCGATTGTTTTTTATTTTATTTTTATTTTATTTTATCTTTCTGTTATTTTCAATGTTGATTCCGAACTTAAGAGGTCATCTCACTTGAACCCTTAAATTTCAAAATGTCCCCCTTTTTTTGTTTTGCTAAATAAAATGTCCCCATTCATATCTAACAAAAGAACGTTCTAATTATTTTAGCTCTTTTTATCAGTTTGTCAATCTCTTTAGCTGTGTTTAGAATTGATCCCCTTTTTTACGTTTTTCGAGAAAGAAAAAATGAAAACGTTTTCAAAATGACGTTTTGCGCAATAAAGATAAAAAATAGAAATGAAAATGATTTTTTTAATTTAGTGTAAAATGAGATATAAATAAAGTCATTTTTCATTTTTTATTTTCGTTTTCTCATCTCTCGAGCAGAGAGAGAGAAGGAGAGAAATATTAATGAGTTTTTTTATATTGAAAATAATCTCTTGATAAAACTACCAAACGTATTTTTAAAAATGATTTCTGTCTGATATTGAAAATGTTTTCATTTTCATTTTCATACAAAAAATAAAATCATTTTAGAACGAGTTCCAAACGCACTATTTGCATTCATCACTGCGATAATGATCACCATACTACTAAATTATAGGTCTCACTCTCCTTTTGTAGAGATCACCTTTCACTGGTAATGAAAACAATACTCTTTATAAAGAGTTGTACTGTACTAACTAACAAATGACGGTGACCTAGCGGTATAAAAGATTATTGTGGTTGGGGCCATGGGTTGGGGTTTTCAATGAACATTACATACTATCAGCATCTAGGACATTCTAAAACCTCTTAGTATTAAGCCCAAAAAAGGTAGTTTAATGTTAGTTTCTCCCTTAATCCTAAACTATTTTTTTTCTTTTACCCAAAAAAAAAAATGGCAATTCGTTCGTGGTAGAAATTTAAAGCATATGCAATTCTTTTCCCACTTGTTTAAACCTACCGTCCTATACATATGTTGATATTGACCTAAGAAAAGTTTAGCCTTATTTGGTCCTACATAAATATTGCCACGCATTTATATGGTCCAATAATATATATATATATATATAGTCAACTGCAGTCGATGTACGACATGATTTTCTTCAACTAAATTTAAATATATGGCCCCAACCAACAACCTCCGCTTCTCTTTCTCCCTAATTACCCCGTGAATGATTCCATTGAGTAATGATGGTTATCTGTTTCCTTGTTTGAAGGATCAGTTTGGCATTAATTTGTGTACTATATATATGTGTGTATGTGTGTACATGCACGTTCCCACGCTACTTGGTTGTTTGGATTTTAGGTAAAATATAAATAAAAAATAAAAAATAAAAAATATTTTCTCGGACGCTAGAGTTGGTTTTGTCTGTACAGGAATGAGAACTGTATACGTATATGCACGTATTTATATTGGGACTGGTCGTAGTCTCTTTAAACTAGGGGATCACTACTTTCAACCAACAAAAAAAAAAAAAGAAACCAAAAGAAGCAGGCAGTTGGGAACTAAACTTTGTCATAATTCATTCATGAACGTTGATGAAACCAGCTGGACACGAGACCCCAAAAGTACACATTGCGAGGAGCTTCAGTGACAACATGTAGCCGTACATTTACAAAGGTGCTTTGATGAACTACAATAATTCATACTTTCAAACGTTAAATTTACATTAAAAATTATTTACTCAATTCATGATGATGTGTTCACTTTCACAAAAACAAACAATGATGGATCGAAAACATATGAAGCCAATATATCTATATCTATATCTATCTGTATATATATATATATATATATATCTACATCTATTTATATTTATATATATATCTATGAAAAACCGATAACATATTATGATCTGTTTTCATATCTTCAACATCTATATATCTTTGTATATTATGATCACCTTCTAAATACATGGTTGAAGAATGTATAAGGATTGAACAAGATTCCTCATTAAATGAAGAAACGATCGATCCTTGTCCAAATTTAATGTAAATTATCTTAAAATGGCGATTGGTGCCTCATGACTAGACTAGCTAGACGCGTTTGAGCCCCAACATGTGTCCCCTTTCATTAACTCTCTAATTTATTTTTTATTTTGGTTTTGTTTCCTCAGCAAAAGCCTAAAAGGCTAGTCGACTCTCAACTGTGGTATGGAACTTTTTTTTTTAATTATTTTATTATTATTATTTTGGTTCGTGTTCAACTAGGCAAGGGTGGTAGGTGAGTGTTTTTATTGAGACAAGCAAATGACACGGTTCCTCTTAAAAACGACAGCCTAACTCCAGCATGGCATTGGTAGGGGCTGCCAGATTTCTGTCTTTTTTTAATTTTTTCGTATGCATTCGGATTTGCGGGATGGAAGCCGGAATTAGTTGACAATTGTTTTCCGTCCACTGTAATAGAACTCACTGACCATCTCTCTGTCTCATTATTTGATCAGTAATTAAGACCTGTAACTACATATATTACTAATGTCTTCTTCTCTTTTTTTTTTTTTTTTCCTTTTTTTTATTATAAATATTCTTTTCAATATCTGATTTTCTTGTGAAATTTTGCTTCAAAGTAGGGAATCATATTGGCCTTTCAATGTAGTGTTCGAAATCGTGAAATGTGAACTAACATTAAGTAGTGAATCCTTATGATAATTTAAAGTTAATCTCACAAATTGTCTATGAGGTTTATCTCAATCTCATTTTGATTCTTAATTTGTTAAACGTTCTACAGTTGGTCCTTAATGTTTTATTCTGTTTCACTTTCAATCTTTTTGTGTAGTTTGGTGTTAAATATTTGACGAAATTTATAAAAATTAACAATTAAAATTAGAAATATATAAAGTTAGGGACTAAAAATTTAAAGCAATACCAAAAATAAAATAAAATTTAATTGTTATAAATAGTCAATAATTGTGGTCCCTAATTTACATAAATTTTACTAAATTTTAACGCTAGTCAATAAAAAGATTGAAAATGAAATAAAATAAAATTTTAAGAAACATCCAAGTATAAATTTCAAGAACCATTTCTAGAAATAGCCCCTATAATTTATAACCGCTAGGTTTACTGCCTAGTACCTTCCCATTAACGTTTCAAGGGACCCATGTTTATGTTATTGGTCGATAATTAAGGGATGATGGGTTGGTATAGCTTTTGAATTTTTACATAGGTTGCTATATTGGTAAGAATATCGTTTCTCTTTATTTACTATCAATAATTTGTGCGACATTAAACCCACAGTAGTTAATCTGAAACTGGATAATTAAGGGAGAAATAGGAAAATAAGTCAAGACTTGAGATGAATTAAAATTAATAGATTAATAATTTATATAGGTTAATAAATAGGCTAAATTACTGTTTTTATCTATAACTTGTCTAGTTATGAACCATAACTTGGCAAGTTATTGTCCAGAATTCACGGTTTTTGTCCATAACTTGTCTGGCTATGAATCATAACTTGACAAGTTTGTCCATAACTTATCTAGTTATAAACCATAACTTGACAAGTTATGACCTATTAATTTCTATAACTAAACATTGGCCTATATACTTTCTTAAGCTTTTCATATTGACATATTTTCTATTATTTCCGTATAATTAATTCAAAACTGTGTGTTCCCTCGATGAGCCCCAAGATCTTTTCCGTAGAAGATGAGGATGGAGAACGAAATGGCACCATTTTGATTAGCCAAAAAGCCCCTGTAATTTTGCAGAACTTCTACGAAGTTTAAATGGCCGTTATGGGTAAAATTTTTAGTTCTAAAAGGTTGCAGAATCCTTAGTAGAGTTTTATATAATCAAGGCCTAGTCAAATTTTTACATAGGTTGCTATAAGATAGAATGGAAATAGACATGGGGAAGAAGAGTGAAAACTGAGTGGACGATAGTAAGAGATTTCAGGCCCTTTATACTCGGTGGTATCCAGAATTGTTGGCTATAACCGAAAGGATTAGGAGACAAGAAGTGCACTACTATATTCCTTTTTTTTTTTTTTTTTTAATCAGCAAAAAAACTTTATAAAAGATTGCAAGTAGACGAACTGAGATACATCATAACTTAAGCCATCTGCTACAACAAACAAGTAGCGAAAATGCTAATATTACACGCTACTTGATCAGTGTCGTGAATCAGTACAATCATTATCTGCAAAAGAAGAAAACATCCAGGAGAAGAAGCAATACAGAAAGGAAAACCTCAGTCAGGCCAATTTCAAAGGGGCAGCCACTAGTTTCTCGAAGACGAGCCGAGCGCTTCTAAGGCTTTCGTCGATAGCATCCGTGTTCTGCTGTAACTTGGCCAACTCAACATCCTTGGTCTCTAATTGGGATTTGAGTAGCGCATGCTTCTCTTGCAGTTCGCTTATCTTCGTTTCAATCTCCTTGCACTCCTCCGCCAGCCTAGTCTTTTCGCTGGCATACTCCGACTTCTTTCTTTCAGCGTTTTTTGACTCATCGCGAAGCCGCTCCTGCCTATCTTTAATCGACAGCAACTCACTCACCCGGTCTCTAATTGCCGCGACGTTAAACCCATGCTTTTCCAAGTCAAGGAGGCTCTCCAATGCGCTGGAAAAAACATTCCCACGATCATCGAATCGCAACTTGCTTATCTTGTCTACCAAGCCCGAGAATGTTACCATGTTACCGATGGCCAGCCCTTCCCTACATTCCTCTTTGCACTTATAGAGAGGGCGAAAATGTGGCCTTTGCGGCAATGTTTTGAAAACGTCCATGGACTCTATGACTTTCCATACCGGCGAGCTCTTCACAAAAGGCAACCTCTGAACTTCCTCAGGCACAGAGTCATTGGAGGAAGCAATCGCAAGAGATTCCTTAGCCATCACCGTCGCATCAGGCTGTTCTCTATCCCCCTTCCGTTGGTCAACCAACTTACTAATCGATTCTACAAAGGAAACAGATACAGTCCACCAAAGAACTCAAATAAGATGCTAATACTAGCACAATAAGAAAAACAAGTACCCAGTGGTTTACTTGCAAAAGTAGCTTACTTGTTTCAGCAACACCCGGTTGACACTGCACTAGGCCGACCCACGTCGACAGCGGCCGATCATCATCATCGGCACTATTTGATGGTCGAGTAGAGACCGACCCATTTTCCGTTGTCATGCATTTTGTCCTGGAAGCATCAGCTCTTTTTCTTCTGGAGGCCTCTTGCAAATCTACAACATACCAAATATTGATATAACAAGTACATTGAAATTATTCCGAGCATAATCTTCTTTATTCCCTCGGACAATTTTTTCTATTTATTCAAAAGAAAACCACAAAAAAGGGGAAACAAAAAAACAACACACACAAACACACGCTCACTTCTCTGATATGACTTCTCAAAGCCATCAAACAGAGCAAACGAGAAGCATGCTTTGTAACTTCCAACATCGGAATCATTTCCCGTACTCAATTAAAAGGCTTTGTTAACATCTTTGCTTCATTTACATCCTTGTTTACATAACTGATGTCGAAGTTTACCTTCATAGGTAATATCTAAGTAGGCTACTATCATTATTTACCACAACGGTTGTTATTATTAAAATAAATAAATAAAAGGATTTTTAACACTTGTTCCACAAACTTTTTGGGGCACGGCACTTTCATCACTAAACTTTTTCTTAACAAATTTAGTCTTTGAATTAGAATTAAATGTTTAGAGCTCTTGTGATTCATTCAGGAAATGAATTGTCAAAACTAAAAATAAAAGTTTAAGAACGCAAGTGTCAAAACTACAGGACGTTCAGAATGTACAGGTGTTAAAAAATATTTATTATTGTATACAAAAGTCAGCCCCATTAACGAATTGCCACTACTTTGTAAATTCATTTAAGAACCATATTAAACACTCCTCTATTGTCCTCAGCGAAAAATAAAAATAAAAAATAACACTTGAAACACTCCTTTAATGGAATCAAGGCTACAAACTCCCCTACCTGTAGTTTGCACGCCTACTTGAATAGGCACAGCAACTTCATTAGTTGGACCCGCATTTACAACAATTTCCTCAACGTGTTTAGCTCCCTTCTGAAGAATAACTACAAAACATAAAGCATGATTATGACTCTGTAATTACGAATATCCACTAGACGATTAAAATTAGACCTTGTTTGGTAGAAGGAAAAAGCGGAAGGTGGAAATGTGGAATAGGAATGAGATAATTAATAGATGCATTTTAAACAATTAAGTTGTTTAGTAGCAGGGATTTGAAGAGGAAATGCATTGAGAGATTCAAAATCCTCCACCAGACCCCAATTTTGATCCTTATAAAATTGTAAGAATCGCAGGAGGGAATATACCAAATACAATAGGAGAAAGGTATTCACCTACCTTACAGGTACCTTCTCTTTCCTTCCGATTTTATTTCCTCACCAAAAAGTTAATACATACCTCCTTCTGATGATTCTAGACCTAAGACCACTACTTTTTTTGGTCTGCCCCTCTTTCGTTTACGACTGCTGCTTCCTCCAGCTTGTTGCTGCTTCAACTCCTGCACAACAAAGGGCACACATATACACAACCAATCAGAACTGAGCTCGAGAACAAATAGACGTAGAATGAAGCTGAATTGCAATTATGTTTGTTTCATGCCACGTTTAGGTTTATACCATGTTTGGAATAAGAACCAGGCTGTGAAGCAAATCAGCCAAAATAGGGTCACTGGCAAGTTGAGCTGACACAACCTGGGTGTCAATAGCTTGTTTTAGATGGAATCCACTGATGCATTCTTCATAATTGAGAATTTTGCTGATTTCAAATTCATCTTTTTCCATATTTTAAATATTTTTCAAACAAATAATATTTCAGAATTTTTGCTAATTTCACATTCATCTTTTTCCACATTTTAAATACTTTCAAACAAATAATTTCAACAGACTTTCTAATTTCCCTTTTGCGCTCAGAATTTTAAGGGGTCATAAATGGAAAAATGGAAAGAGAGGAATGTTTTTTACCCTCTATTTACTCGTGTTTAATTACAAGATAGGAGATGCTAATTTGGCGCGAACCACATGGATTAAATAAAGAAATGAAGAGCCAATCCTAAGTAAGTTTCCCTATAGATTTGTTTCTCTTCAAATTAAATTAAACCACAAAAGTCCTTTTATAGTCTTACTAAATTTTAATCCATCAATCTATACTCATTACACAAAGACATTTTCATACTTTCAGCTATCAATTTTCCTATTCCTAAACTTAGTAAGCTAAAGAAAATTAGATTCTTTTCAATTCCACTTCCTAATAGGTAAATAAATACCAAAAAAGGGAATCAATGGTCCTTTTTTTAATTTCTAACTATCTCTTTCCAAGTACAAATTAGAGTAATGTGATTGATGCGTAACTACCTTGTCTAAATGCTTACATGCTACTTTCACTCAAGCCATTCAAACACCAAATACCAAAGCAACTTACGTTTTTCTCCTTTTGGGAGGACAGTGGAAGTAGTTCCAACGTCTCTTTGACAATCTATTTAACTACCAAGAACTGTCTGCGCTGTTGGATTAACAAACCTTTCACTTCATTTGCACAGGATTGTTTATATACAACAAACTGCTTACCGTGCTCTCGTATTCAGCTGCATCATTTGAATTCAGCTTCGAATCTACGGTTATCACTGCCAATTCCTCGTCAAGAATCTGACAAGGAACTTCGCCCGATAAATCCCCCATTCCCTTAGTGTCTGAGGCAATTCTGACAGGGACTTCAACTTCTTTCTTTCCATCCTCTTCTACCAAAGTTTCAGTGGCTCCACCAGTACTTGCATTTTGGGCCTGACCTGCAAACAATGAAGCACCAAATTCCCTTTGAAAAGGAGAATGCACCAGTTGCAATATCTGCCTTATTATTGTTTTTTCTTTTCATTCTCCCCCTTTTTCTAATGAAAAAATACATTTATATATACCTACAGCTGATGTTGGCAGGCTTCCAACTTGAGACTTTTTAGGTCTTCCTTTACGTTTCACAGGATCCGTTCTTTGAACATCTACTGATCCGCCTTTTTCTCCATCAACTGCACCATCTTTCTGTCTGTCAACTGCAAGGTCTTTCGGTCCGTCAACTGCACCGTCAACTGCACCGTCTTTCTGCCGCTTAGTCCTCTACACATTAATATATCTTGATCAGGAATACTACAAAATCAGAGAGAGAGAGAGAGAGAGAAATTCAAAGGGTAGAAAGTTAACCATCCATGTCCAAAAAGGGAGACGGAATGTGAAAGCACTAATCATGTGCAACAGTTTACACTCAACAACTAGATTCATAAAAGAAAACCGCATGTTCACCTTACATAACCCATCCATAATATGACAAATGGATAGTAGTTTCAAAATATACACATTTCTTCAAAGAATAATGGATCAAGAATCATGGATGTGGTTATAGAATATACATATAAAAAATAAGAATCAGAAGAACCAATAAATCCATGTCACGAATGAAAATCACGTTGGGATGGATGGAAAGTTTATCTCACAGCTCTCTTTTCTGCAAAGCTTTCAAAATTGAACGGAAGAACAGGCTTTCTTAAGCGCGTGGACACTTTTGCTCCTGTTGGTAATGTGGCTAATGCACTAAGCTTTTCTTTCTTGGCTTGACTTGATGTATCTGATAACGGGGAATCCATTGGAATTCCGTCTTTTAAGTTTTTTGAAGCATGACCACGTCTACCTATACGGGTGGGAGCCGATAACGTTATTGTCTTCAAACTTAAGGTTCGGACAGGAGAAACTGATTCCCTGTTGTAACCTTTAGAAAGCTCCGTCAGATTCTTCTTGGAATTTGTGGGTTGAGGTGTTTGCTTTGCCCTTTTATCATCAGAAGCATCCAAACTTTCAGGTTTAGTGGCCATGTCAGCATTATTAACATTCATGGGATCATGCTCTAACTTTTCTTGCAACTCTGAATCTGGAGCAACCCAGACATCCTGAAAAAAAAAAAAAGCCCGTTGATTAAGCTACTAACCACAAAATAATTTCCACAGCATATTAATCACAGAAACTTTACCACATGCATGCCACCAAACGGTCAGTTTCTACTAGAACACCAAGGTGACGACTCAGCTGAATACAAGCCAAAAGGATAACACAGCTTAACAGCTCGCCCCCAAGGTCACTTAACAAGCAATGCAATATAATATATCATCACTACTGATGATCACCACACTTTTCCAACCAATCACAAATTCACACATCAACCCTAGGAATGATTATAACACAGGTCAAAAAACTAGTAACTAGCATTTTCGTATTTTTATTAACATCACATTCTCATACCTTGGAGCGCATGTTCCACTTTCCATCTTTCCATTCCACAAGGGGCCTTATTTCTGCATGACTAAGTTCCTTAGACTTCGTACTATGCTTGAAATTGACTGTATACATCTTCCCAGCTTGAATCTTGGTAATTTCACTAGCCCGCCAAGCAAAATCACAAAATGCATCTACTTTCTCGAGTAACTTATAAGTCCTATCTGCGTAACGAGGAGCGGGAGGGCGGATATGGTGAATGTCTACAACATGTTGCCAATGCTTAGCCTTGTTGAGATATTTCACCATAAAGGTATTGTCCTCATTTTCTGTCACCACAATCGCAGGGACCCAAGCATCGTAAAAATCTGCAATATTGAAACTCACTTCTACGTCTGTTCCTGGGCTGAAAGGAGACCCTGTCATTCGCTTTAAAAATTAAAATGAAAACCAAATTAATTTTGTCCACGTAAAATAAAACACGTATCTATATCCAGTTGTACAGAAACTTGTTACTTTTGAAATGATGAGCGAGAGACGTAAAGGTTGGAATCCTAGACGGAAATGAGGAAGAACTACAAGGTACATGTGGCATAATCTTTATTGTGAATTCGGATAAATAAAGCAGACATTATGACAGTGAAATTTAATGTGCATGCAACCGAAATCCAAAATTGGATTAACAGAGCATGAAATCTAATAATTCATTCTAACTATACATAGGAAAATTATATACTCAACGAGACCACTCATTTCATATTAATACTATCACTCAAACCAAGCCTTCAGATAAAGATAAGAACAAAGAAGATTTGTAAAAATACAATTATGGCACGATGTACAATAGAACCATCATAACAATTAGCAACCGGAAAACGGACACATAAATCGTAAGTACAGGAGCACCTTTAGTTCATATCCGTTGTGAAAGTTGGAAAAAATGTAACACTAAGATCTACTGCCGAAAACTAGTGTCTTCATACATAATACCAGCCAAAAAAGAGAAGGCCAAAATCAAACTTAATGCTAGTTCAGACATCAGATACAGTCTGAGCAAGAAAACTAATGTGTCCAACATCCTCCTCACATGCAGCAGAAAAAGAAAATAACCCCCCCAAAAAAAAAGTTTCGAATTTCAGGCACCCACCAGAGAATATTTCTGATAGACATACTCTCTTATAACTTACACCAAAGAGAAAAAGGAAAATAAAAAAGTTGAAAAACACCAAAAACAGGGGGGAAAGTACTTAAACTAAAGGTCTAAATTATAGTTCCGAGATCTTCCTAGTTCCTTCCATTATTTCTAACTTAATTCTAGTTCAAACATAAGCATGCTTACATGCAGCTGGAATTAAAAAAAAAAAAAAAAAAGTCTCACATTCAGAAATACACTTCAAAAAAACAAGAAAATGGGAAAACGTAAGACGTTTAGGAAACAGCAAAAAGAAGGGGGAAATTTTAAAATTAAATGTTAAAGTATGGTTCAAAGATCTTCCTTAATAAATACTAGTTCAGACAACATGCTTTACATGCAACAGAAAAATGAAATAACCCAAAAAAAAAAAAAAAGGGTCCCACATTCACAAAAACACTTCAGAAAATCTTTTAAAAATGAGGAAAAAAAAAGGTTCCGAAACGCCAAAAAAATAGAAATTAATATTGAAAAAATACCTGTTGTCTTTTGGGGCGAACCCAGTGACCACCAACCCAGTCCTGATGAACCCGCATTTGGTTCTGATCAAACTCGATCAAATCAGGAGGGTTATCGAAGAAAACTCTGTACTTGCAATTCCCGAGGGCCTTCTTCACCACGCCCGTCCACCATCCATCTCTGTAATCGGCGTCGACAACCACTCCGACCTCGAAATTCAGGCGACCGACCTCCGGCGGGAGTGGCCGGACGTAGCAGAGGTCGACGTACTCCCTCAATTGATCGGTCCCATCCTCGGTGACGAGGTTTCGGTACTCCACCATAACCTTCTTGTTGTTCTTGTTCTTCTTGGCCGGGGTGATAGGATTCTCGATAATGGTGGCTCTGAACCAGGCGCCTTTGAAGCCTTCTTCGTCGCTGCTGACCTCCACCTCCGAGTCTTCTGGGAAGGTCTGGTTGTGGTTGTGGTTGTGGTTGTGGTTGTGGTTGTGGGGTTCGTTAAGGTCGAAGCCCGCCATGGCTGGTTTGGATTTTGGGTGTGTGAAGTGTGGGGAACAGGAAACCCTAAAAGCCCGAATAACTAACTAGAAATGTGAGAGGAGATTTAGTAGAGTGTACTTTGACTACATTACAGGGTCAGCCTGCTTTTGTGGTGTACTTCTTGTTAAATGCTAAGATTAAAGATCCAAACTTTTTTTTTTCTTCCTTCCTTTTTTCTGGATTAGGATTAAGCAAATCTTTGTGATTAGCACCGAAACCGATGTGTGTGTATGGATCTGACAATCTTATTTGGGGTTTTTTTTTTTGCGGGGCGTTTGGGTTTGATTTGTCTGTCTTTCATCAAAGATCAAAGATATAAAATATTCTAAAAAATATATATAAAAACGAGGTTGTTCTGTGCCTTTGCTAAAAAATTAAAAGTAATATGTTAACTAATGTGTTAACTAAAAGTATTAAAAAATTAAAAAATATACATATAAAGCATGTTTATTTGATGTATTAGAGCATTATATTATATAATATGTTAATTAATGTGTTAACTAATGGGTTTTTTTTTTTATATTTTCACAACAGAAAAGAATTGTTGTTTGTTAATTAGGTTAATTTTTTCTGACAGTTTGATCATTGTTGTTTGTTAGTTTAATTAATTTTTTTATGGTCTGATTTATAAATATTTATTTTAAAAGATACAGTACACAATAGATAATTATTATTGTACATAAATATAAAAAATTAATCTAACAGTTAAAATATTAAAATTAATAATAAAAAATGACAGTTTCTACCTTTCAAATTTTTTTCAAGATGTAGTAGACTTTTCTGTATCAACATTAAAAAATAACTTTTTAATTATTTAATTTTTAAGATTTAATATTTTTTTTAAGATGTAGTAGACTTTTCTGTATCAACATTAAAAAATAACTTTTTAATTATTTAATTTTTAAGATTTAATCTTTTTTAAGAATAGATAAGATTATCAAAATATCTCTGTAGTATTCTATCAAAACTTTTAACAGAAGATTTTTTTGTTAACGAAACAATAATTTAAGAGAAACGAATGTTATTTTTAAACAGAAATTTTTTTGTAATTAATCATTTTTAGTTTATAGTAAAAAAGAAATTTTTTTTTTTTTTTTTTTTTTGGGCTGATATTTGTGCATTATTATTGCGTTAATAATACCGCACCAGTGTTCCTGCACCACGAAAAACTTTTCGTATTTACAACTGAGGACCCTCAAACTCTTGAAATAATAAATTGCGAACATTTCCCTTCTTCTTAATCACAACTTCAGACTTGAAGAAGAAGCTCCTCGCTTTCGAGTTTTGACCATGGCGTCTCTAACGACCCTCGGAATCCCTAAATCCCCAACGCCTTCTGGTGATATCCTTCTCAAATCCCACCAATTTCCACAATTCATTCCTCTTAAACAACGACGAATTACCTCCCAAAGCAAGGGCCTTTCCAAAACCGCGATTAGAGCTTCGAACCAAAGCTCAACTACTGGTTCTTCGTCTTCGCCGGGACTGTACTCTGCCCAGAAATTCGATCTGACAGCTCAGAACGTTGACTTCGTTCTGGAGGACGTTCGACCTTATCTCATTTCTGATGGTGGAAACGTTGATGTTGTGTCTGTCGAAGACGGTGTTATTTCTCTCAAGCTCCAAGGTCTGCTTCTTTTCTTCTTATTATTTTAATCTTCGTCGAATCATGGTTAATTCCATCGTTTGTGGTTAATTTAAACTTTTTATAAAAACTAAAAAGTTCAAATTTTCAATTCAGTTTTTTGGGTGTACAACTCAGGTTCTTCAACTTTTTTTTTTTTTTTTAATAGATTTGGTGTTGTGTTTTATGAATTGTTTACATGGGGATTCAACGACCAAATAACAATAATGATTTACTTCCAATTCCAAATAATTATGATGCCATTTTACCATATGATTAGGTAGAGGAATGATCATAAGCTCATTAGAACTTACGTATACCAGGGAAGCAAAAATGCATGAGTTGAATAAAAAATATTTCCATTTACCAAGATGAGTGTTGATTCTTTATGATCTGAGTGAACCAGGCCAATGTTAGAGTTGCTATATATTTCATGTGTATGAAGAAGAGCCATGAATTTCCTATGCACCTATAATATAAGGTTCTTCAAATTGGGTTTTCTTGTTTTGAAGTACATCTGTGTTTTTGTGGGGGGAAGAACAGGAAGAAGACATACTCAAATCGTTCAGTTTTTTGCTTCGACATAGATTAAGTTCAAACGATTAAGATTTCAATCTTTAAATCTCATAGAGTAATTATATCCAGCTCTGTTTAATCTAGTTCTTGATGCTTGTGATACATAGATTGCCTTTAGAAGATGAAGTATTTGTATTTGTTAGATAAGCGTGTGTATGATAACTTCGAGACATGAGATTTCTCTATTTGTATGACTGCTGGAGCATTGTTGTTTTCCATGTTTCTTTTAAGCAAAACTTGCATACCAGTTAATAATCATATAGATTTCAAAGAAAATTGGTGAAGATGACAAGGAAGTTGATCGGTGTGTTCTTGTAGTGAGACATTGCTTGCTTGCATTAATTTGGAAATAACCAACAGGGGCATGCGGGAGCTGTCCGAGCTCAACTACTACTATGAAGATGGGGATTGAACGTGTGTTAAAGGAAAAGTTTGGCGACGCTGTCAAGGATATCCGCCAAGTCTACGATGAAGAACCAAAGGAGACAGCTGTTGAGGTTAGTTTCTAAGGCACCCTTTTGATACGGGGAAAACAATTGGTTAATGCTGAATGAGTTTAGTTAAATCCCAAATGCTGCAATTTGCAGGCAGTGAATGGTCACCTTGACATACTGAGACCAGCCATAAAGAACTTCGGCGGAAGCGTGGAAGTGTTATCTGTTGAAGGTGAGGATTGTTTTGTAAAATACAAGGGGCCCGAGTCAATCGGATCTGGAATCAAAGCAGCGATCAAAGAGAAGTTCCCGGATATTGTAAACGTCGTCTTCACACAGTAGGTTCTTCTCCATCTCTGTACGTCTTCTAGGAAAATACCTTTGATGATAAATATGTGAATTGTGAGGTTTCTGAAGCCAGGAGATCGCAACTACTGGGGTTAGAGTTTGTAGTTTTTACTTGGTTATTACAATATATTTCCTGTGAATCCTACAAATTGATCTGTTCATATGATATATGTAGTTGTTTATTCTATACGGATCAAGTTTTGGGGAATAATGAAATCAACGGATCCAATTTTGGTCTACCACGCATTATACACTCTCAATTCCAACTTAGATTTTATTACTGCTTCAACATCATTTTCGTACATCAAAGAAGGCCATTTGGAACAATGTCTGAACTATTTCTCTAAGAAGTTGCCGTTATCGTTATCTCGATCAGCCGATAGCACAGACTTCAGCCACCGAGCCAGATTAATCAAAAACGGCGTGTAAGCGAAGTAGCAAGTGATTGTCCAGCTGACTAACCCCTGCATGTGATGTGAGCAACTACAGAAACTCAAAATCGTCCTTAGAGTACTCAGTAATTGGTTTGAAAACTTTTTGTTTATTACCAACCTGACCAAAGATTTCAATGTTTGGCTGTGGATAATACCAAAGGTGGAAGAACCTGCGGAGAATTTAAATATTAAGCCTAATACAGACAAAATCCATATATGATGTACGTATATATACACACATACACACACATATCTATATACAACACACATATATAACTGTTTCTGCAAGAGATGTGTCCTTACTTGATTAAGGGAATTTCGGCAATGGGGCAACCGATTCCAATAATGCTTGCTAGGGTGAAACCCAGCAACGTCCTGTCAAGGGATAACCAAAGAAACTCTGCTAATCCAAATAATATGTAGGCCTCAATGTTGTCTGCAACTCCAGCTTTGTACATTTCAGCACTTAATTCTATGAATATCACAAGTGCGCTTCCTTCAACAAGAATTATTATCGTTATGCTTTTTTAAGCCAAGGTATCAGAGCAGAACTAAGAAAATAAATTCCATACAAATACAATTGACAAACCCATCAAAGATCAATAAAATAATAAATAAATAAATTGATTAGTGCTATTAATTCAAGAGATGGACTAGAAACTCACATCAATGAAGCAAACACTTTCTCTTGTGTGCCCTCTGGAATCTTTGAAGAGCTCCTCTCATCTAATAAGAGTTGAAGTAATCCAACAGTGCAGTAGAACAAACCAAGCAAAACCGGAACCTATTAATTATCAAGTGTAAGCAACAACTTCGCAATTTGTCCAAGAAATTGAAAGGAAAAAAAAGGCACTGAATTGGGTTTTACCCAGATGTTTGTGTGGAGTGGACCAACATCAATGGCTCCTTTATCATACACCACAAGACCAACCCTGGAGTGAAGTCCATCAATCAAGGGTCCCAAGAAGAAACCCGAACCGAAAAGGGCAACCGAGATGGAAGGCCAAGAGCTTCTGAGGGTCTGCTTTTTGAGGCTGCAGGAGTAAGCTGGTCGCGTGGACTTTGCAATACTATTATTGTTTGGCGGATTGTATGCAAAGCAGGAAGATCCCAACACAATCAAGGAATTCATATTCACATTCCGTAATTCAAATGCATTATATATGTTATATATATATATATACTAGTTTAAGTAGTTTTCAATATATGAGGTATGTAGTCTTGTTAGTAGTTGTTGAGGTGTCTTGTGGACAGTTGGCTCTTTTAAGAACATGATAAAAACTATGTGGTCTCAAAGTGTTATACACCAACCAAGATAGGGAATTCCACAACTGCCCTCTTTAGTCACTACCATTCGAATGTATTGAATTTTGTATGAATTTGACTCACTCCTCCAATTGGGTCCTTGCTATTACATTGACACTATTGTTTAGTAGAGTAGAAACATGATTGTGAACAAATTGAAGAAAAACTATTTGCTAATACCATTTTGGTAATTTCATCTTTAGGTTTATGTTTTGCACCACTACCTGTGTTTACTCTGGGTCAAACAAATACTAGGAGTTATTATTTATTTATTTTTTTTAAAGAAATTACTCGTTTTGCCAGTTTTCTTTTATTGCTACTTTTCTCGTTTTTATTTTTTATTTTTATTTTTTTAGGGGAACTTTCCTCGTTTTTGTTACTCCTCGATTTCATTTGCACTAGTTTCTCATCCTCCCTAATGTTTTTACAATTTCCTTTCGTCAACCTTTATTAATTAATTCTTCTAAATAATGGCGTAATTTAAGTCGAATATTAGCATATACTCATCTTGAGATACTTTTTTTTTCTTCCTACCCATATTTTAGTAGTTTTCCAATTTACTTCTGGTCTCCGTTAGTACTTTCTAGGAGTCTTTAGCCTATAAATAATATAAACTTGAGTCCAATGTCTTGGTGAATCAACTGTTACAATGACGGATTTTGGACTCTCAAACCGCCCTGTAAGAATTATGGTTGTGTTTGGAGTTATTTTGTTTTTATTTTTTACGTTTTTTGAGAAAGAAAAAATGAGAACGGGAGAGAAATGACGTTTGATACAATTAAAGACAAAAAACGGAAATGAAAATGATTTTTTAGTTTAGTATAAAATGGAAGATAAATGAAAAAGTCATGTTCTTATTTTGTTTATGTTTTCTCATCTCTCGAGTAGAGATAGAGAGAGACATTAATAGATTTTTTTATACTGAAAATAATTTCTTGATAAAACTACCAAACGCATTTTTAAAAATAATTTTTATCTGAGATTGAAAACGTTTTCATTTTCATTTTCATACAAAAAATAAAATTATTTCGGAACGAGTTCTAAACGCACTCTATGTTTTTCTTCGTGGCTTACAACAAGCCTAAAGTTAGAACAAGTGTAATTTGGTGTAACATATGAGCTTGATAAAGTCCTTTGTTCCCGGCTTTCTAACATAAAAAACATCTATGAACCATCCATGCCAAGAATTGTGGGGTTTGGCATTGAGAGAAATTTCCTGTGCGACTCTGATGCACTAGGGCGCCAATCAGTACTCAAGGAAGAAGTTTGTGTTTTGAAACTTTGTGTAGGAACCGAGTGCTTGCTCATAACTAAACTCATTCCATTTGAATGTTCCGCTTGCCTTGCTATGTTTCTGAACCACTCTAGGCTAACTTTCGTCGGCATGAGAATCAAGCAGGACATGGCTGACCTAGAAACAGTTTATAAAGGCATAAAATGTCGGAACATGGTTGAGCTACGTCCATTTACAGCCGCTATTTTTGGTGCTAGAAGAACAGAGGCTTATGTTTTTGTGAAATTGGCCGAGACTACTTTGTGTTTGGATTTACGAGCATTGGACGCGCTTCGTAATATACCACCCGAGGTTGTTTTAGATGATTGGGGGAGGGTTCTTCTTTGAGCGATGAGCAGATTGCGCACGCTGCCATAGATGCTTATGTAACCTTCCTTGTTGGGAAACGTCTTTTTTTCTAAACTCGCTCAAATATAGGTTATAGTTTAATTAGTTGGAAGTTTCTTTTATTAATTAACTTGGGTTTAGGGATTTGAATTATATGTCTCAAGATTTATAAGTGGTTCTATGGTGTTTTGTTAATACTTGTTTACCATTGAAATTTCATGAGATTTTTTTTTTCCCTTTTTTCATTAATCAAATATATTCTTGTCCCTGATCAAACCCCATGGTTATGGTTCATAGCTTATGGTTGATTTATTCCTTTATTCTTGTCTTTCAACTAATAGAGTTTTATTTTGAAGAATATTAATATTCACCTTAAAAATTTCATCCATTTATATTCAAAGTCGTCATCACGATAACGTATTAGACTATTAACGAATCGATCTAGAACAGTCTTTGTTTCCTCTATTTTCTTGCTTGACACAATTGAATAATGCATTAAAGACGGTTTAGCTTCCATTCAAGTAATTATCTTGTGAAAAATAACAGGGACGTTTAATCAATGTTAGGTGTTATTTTCATATCTTCTTCCATTCAACTATATAGTTGTTACGGGCGATCACTTGAGAGATTTGTTATGATCAGCCAAACAATAATAGATAAAACACACATAAGAAGAATATACAAAATTCATAAGCAACACTTGATTTGATAAATATAAATATATTTGTTTTCTAATCGTCCTACTAGACTAATTTTTCTTAAATATATCCACCATATTTTTTAAAATCTTATATTTGCTATGTTAGTGTTCAGTCCAAAACACATGTATTAATCTCGTATTGGTCTTAATTTATCTAAGCCTTGGTCAACGAGGATTGAAGCATTTTGAACCTACCCCCTTTTGAATCAAAATTGTACTTCAGCGACTATTATCAGTGTTGATGCCTCTTTTCTTTTCTTTTTTTTTTAATTCTTTTTTTTTATAATTATTTCAACTTATAAATCTCTATAATTTATACTAGAAGAGAATATGCATTTATTTGTTCAACTTTTTTTTATTCAACAATCTGTATATATAATAAATAAATGTTTAATTATTTTCATAAATGGCCGAAGTATATACTCTAATTTAAAATGTCCTTAATGTTTTAAAATGGTTCATTGCACTCTCAATCTATAGAAAATAGTTCAAGATTCCTTCTGTCTAACTCTGTATATAATATTAATGGTTTGTTGATGTGGCACTAATATTAAAATATTTAGAACACTAAATTTTATTAAAAAAATAAAAAAAGAAATAATTAGGGGAAAAAAACCTTTTAACAATTTCAAAACGGAAAAAGAAAAAAAAAGGGAAAAGAAAAGAAAAAAAAAAAAAAAAAGGAAAAAAAATCCTTTTGCTCATTCCATCACCCACGATTGTCTCCGCCGACCACCGTCTCTTATTCTTTCTTCTTCCCTTGGGCAAGGATGTTCATCACAGTCACAGACATTAGACAATAAACATACTCTTGTTTGGATCACTGAAACAACAACTATTTGTAACAATCCCTCCACCAAAAAAATAAAAAAATAAAAAATAAAAAACAATTGCAATAACGGCAGACATAGTTGGGGATTTTTTTTTTTATAATTCTGATTTGAAATTGTGTACCATTTTACCTGTGCAAGGCTTGTCCAAAAAGCAGCCACAAAGCAACGGATTGTGAGAAAATGTGGAAATGCAAAATAGTACACCAATCGCCCAACTAGAACAACCCACCCACCCCCGTCTCAACGACCACCGAAATTCCGCGTATATTGCGATTTCCTCTACTGTTGTCCCTCATCCGTAGTTCCGCCCCTAGCCGAGGCCCAGATCTCGTATCCTCCAATGCGGTTTGGGGAGGAGCGTCGTTGTCGGAATTTTGAGTCACCGGGCAGCTTGACGCCGGTTCGTGTGGTGGGGTGACAAAGGGGGCTAAGAGGACGACATGGATGCCTCAAGGAGTGCGACGACGATGGCCTGTACACGGCGGCTTATGAGGTGGGCCGCGGGAGTCGCGGCATTGGCACTTTCGCCGGCAGCGTTAAAAGTTTAAGTTCCGTTTAATTCATTAATTCAAGTTTTTATTCGCTTTAAATATAGAGTTAAGATCAAATGAGAATTAGATATATGGCGAGATTATTTTGGGCATTTAATATAATTTTAATAGATTTAATTAGGATTTAATGTTATAGTAAACTTTTAATTATATGCTACGCCAATAAATTGTTAATATTATACACGAAGTTGGACAGAGAAGTATTTTGAACTATTTTTTATAGATTGAGAGGTACAACGAACCATTTTTAAAAATTAAAAAGCATTTTAAATTAGGATATAAACTTTACATTTATGAAAATAATCCTAAATGTTTTTTTTTTTTTTTTTTTTTTCATTTGCTAGACCATCATCTTGTGTACGTTAGATTTTACACCTTTCTAACGCATGGGTTCTTTTTTTTTTATGAAGTTAGTTTATTCGAAAAACAATTATAGATTGGTCATATTCATTCATGTTTGCAAAGATGCAAAAGTTGTGCTTGTTCAAATTCAATTTTAATTATTCTAAATTGAATTATCAATTTTACTTATATATTTCATGATAAAAATAAGAAAAATTATATTAACAAGGCCATCCTTTCAAACTTTTAAAAGTAAATAACCAATTTTAGTTAAAAATAATTAGAACAACAATATTTTTAATTGAAATAATAACTTCATATGTAATTTTTGCAAAGGAAAAGAAAAGGTAAAAAAAGGGGCGTGGGCGTGGCTCATGCTATTCTATAATATAAATAACCATTCTATTCTAGGTGCTTGTTCTTTCTTTGCCGTCTTATAATTTTATAGGGCTCCATCTTATGAGGATATTGTTTAAGCGCACCACTGTAAGTTATTATTGAGACAGATTTCGCATCTCATTTTTTATTATATACGTGTTAGCACACCTCTCAAAAAATAAGAGTCAATCATAAAATTAACATTTAAAATTAGTCACGAGCCATTAATATCACTAATCACGGATTGTTAAATGAGTCTCTAACAGATAGTAAACTACTTATCAAGTCGGCATCCTCTCAATTCTATCAGCAGCCTACCAAAACGACTTAAGCCTATCTAGAATGAGTCGTGAGTTTCTAACAACTCGCGGGTCACGACTCAACGAACAAATAGCTCATCGGACGAGCTGTCCGACAACCTTGCTGACTTGGAGCTCAAGTTTCAGATATGAGATATACTTCCCACGACTTTCTCCAAAAGAAATCAGCATACACGCTATCTCATAGTCTATTTTCCGTACTAAAGGGTGGATTGGTAGGTGGTGAGCCTCTAGATTGACACATGGTCGTCCATCATATCCACTTTAGATCAAAAGGTAACAGAAAAAAAAAAAGAAAAGAAGAAAGTGGGGTGCATTTTAGAACCAATAAGCTCGGCAAAACCCAAAAGGGAACCCCATTAATTATCTTACGTAGTGTGTAAGAATGGGCTATAAAAGTAACTGCATGGCCCCAAAATGTGGTACACATGCACAGGCGTTTTCCTCATTCTGTTAAAGAATAGAAAGGGGCCATCTGATTAAACACAATCTTTACTAGGCCAAAGATATCAGCTGCATCTTCTTTCCATTGGACAAAGATTATTGAATATTTTCAAGCATTGCTTTTATATGCATGCAGACATACATACATACAAACATAGATACATACATACATATATATATACACATATATATATATATGTATATATCACCTTATTCCTCTCATATCCCATCCATGATCTTGTGAATTGTAGACCTACTATTTCTCAGCCATTTGCCCTGTATTCTTTTTTTTTTTTCTGATTAATTTGCTAATGGCTGCCGAGAAGCAGATGCCAATATCTCATACCAATAGAAAGCTAATGACAATACTCAGCATTGATGGCGGCGGAATCCGAGGTATCATCCCGGGTACTATCCTTGCCTTCCTCGAAGAAGAGCTTCAGGTCATCTATCCACTTCTTATATATCTTTTATAGTTTTAGCATCCATTCATCAAACACATTTCCTCTGTGCTATACGTGTCAGTTGGAAAAATTTTCAATAGGGGCACACTATGAAAAACAGACGATCAGATAGTAAAACCTTTATGAAGACACGTTCAGACAAACGAAATTTTACATACAAGAATCAAAATTTAAAGTCTTTGCCACTGATATTTGATATACATAGACACAGACAAACGACTAGACCACTAATCGGCGGTTTAATTTACACTTTCTTTATATGTACAACTTGTTTGGTAAGAACGAAAAGATCATGAAGGGCAAGGGAGAAAAAAGAGAGTTGAAAAAAAGTATATAATTAGTAGACCCCATTATTTTTAGTTCATCTACATATAGTTGGAGAGATTATTGAGTGAAGAACTTGAAGCTAAATCTTGATATCGATAAAATTTTAATTGTCTATATCACTCGTAATTTTTTTTTTTACCTTACATCAACACGAGGGATCATAACTTCTTGTAATATTGTTTATGAACAATAAGTAGAAGCTTGATGGTCCGGAAGCAAGAATTGCAGACTACTTCGACGTAATAGGAGGGACAAGCACCGGAGGAATAGTGACGGCCATGCTCACCACACCATATGATGATCAAAATGGTCGTCCACTTCCAGCTAAAGATATCAACAAATTTTACTTTGAGGAAGGCCCCAAGATATTCTCCGACGAGGCTAAATCGGCCAGGCAACAGACTAACGGTTGGAGAGAGCCGAGTAGCATAGTCGGTAAGGTCTTCACGCAGATAGCAATGGCGGGCATGTGGGCTTTTGCCAAGCTAAAAGCACCTGAATACGATGGGGTTCACCTGCGTCAGAAGATCAAAGAGTTTTGCAGAGGCATACTATTGAGTGACACTCTTACTAATGTTGTAATCCCTGCTTATGATATGCAAGACCTGCGTCCAATCATTTTCTCTACTCAACAGGTCAGGATGATCAATTTCCTTTAATATCTTTAAATTTCTTTAATTATACGTCTTTATGAATAATCCACTGGCACTAGTCATATATGTGTCATTTGTCAATTATATGTCGTTTGTTTAGTCGTATATGTCTTTATAGGTCTCGGTCATTTTACCCCAACAAATGCCACGCCGTTTATATATATATATATATATATATATATATATATATATA